AGTATATAATAATTAGTTTATCCTAACTTAGAAGTAAGTAACAGAAGAAGAAAGAAAAAGAAACCAACTAATGATATACACTATATATATGGAAAAAAAAAAAAAAAAAAAGAACACACATGAACTTATTTACAAAACAGAAAAAGACTCACATGAGGTGCCAACTGGTGCCTGCTGAGGCCCTGTGACCCCCAAACTTCCAGCCCTTAGGCATCTGCCTGCTCCTTTCAGGAGATAAACTCCTGCACAATTAACAGCCTTGGGAAATGACTAGTCTCACTGTAGCTCAGGCTGACTTGTCACAACCCATGTCTCCCCCTTACCGGAGTCATAAATTCCACTCCCTTGCTGTGTCAGCTCATGCCTCCATCTTACTGGAGTCATAAATCCACTATCCTTCCATATACCAAAGCCCCTTAGCTCACTTGTAGCCAATCAGAAATCTGTTCCCCTGTTCCTTTGAGTTCACGGCCCCTTCCCCGATAAAAGACCCTGCACATTCACACTCAGTGGACACACAGGAACCCCTGTCTGTGCAGCCTGCTGTGGCCTATAGCAGCGAACCTATTAGACTTTCCTTTGGTCTTAAACTGCTCCCTTTCTGGTAAATGCTTCTTACCAACCCACATCACCGGCCCACCACCAAGTGTCCCCCAACATCACAGATACAGAAAACAAACTCATGGTCACCAGTGGGGAAAGGAGGTAGGAAGGGATAAAATAGGAGTTCAAGATTTGTAGATACTAACTGCGATATATAAAATAGATAAACAACAAGCTTGTGCTGTACAGCACAGGCAACTATATTCAGTATCTTGTAGTAACCTATAATGAAAAAGAGTATGAAAAGGAATATGTGGGTATAAGTATGACTGAAACATTATGCTGTTCACCAGAAATTGACACAACACTGTAAACGGACTATACTTCAATTAAAAAAAGAAAAATGTTTGTAGGGTGAATGCCTGGGTGGATGGGTGAGGACCAGTGTGCATTCGGGCTCTGGTAACACAGAGATAAGAGCCCCTTTCCTCCCCTCAAGGGACACACTGTAGATGACAGAGAAGGAATAAAAAAGAACAATGAAATGGGATGAGTCAGGGCACAGCACAAGGTGTGAGCTCAGCTGAGGGGCACCCAGTCCAGTGGGGAAAGGAGGTATGTGTTCAGGGGTACTTCCTGGTGGATGGTGTTGGGCCAGCAGGAGGCAGGTGCACAGGAACGAGAATCAAGGGCCTTCTAGACAGAGAGGCAGGTCCAAAGCAACCAAGGTGCGAGCAGCGGAAGTATGGTGATGGCTCAGACTCAGTGTCGCTGGGATAAGGGAGAAATGCGGGGAAAAGGCAGGGACGACTGATCACAAGGGGCCACATTCCCACTAGGGAATCTGGAATTTCTCCTAGAGAGAAATAGAAGGCTCCTAAGAAAAAGAGAGAATGCTGCAGGGTCCATAGACTTCTGGCAGATTCCTACTCCAAGGTCCCTCAGGTGTCCAGGTGCTGCCCTTGAAAGGTAACAAGAAACATTCCTTTCCTAGTATACACCTGCCTTAGCTGAACTAACTACCCTAGATAATGATCACCTATACAGTGCCTGGAAGCCTGACCCCTGGAACCAGCCATGTAGCCCTACCTTTTCATGAGGCCCCCTTCCCTATTACCTCACCATCCACCAATCAGAGGCCTGTACACGAGCCGATCACGCACTCTGTGACCCTGTGCTACCTGAGGTAACCCTCCCTTACAAAAGATCTCAGCAACTGACCCACGGTGCACACACAGGCACCCCTCGTCTGTGTGGTCCGCGGCTGTCTATGACAGCATACCTAGTAAACGCCTTTCCTATTTTCATTCTTTGTCATCGGTAAATTATCTTACGGCCTGCGCACAGGCCTGCGAATCCCACAACAAACACGACAGGATTTACACTTATAATGACCCCCCCAGCTGCAGGGTAAGGCCAGGCAACGAGGCCGAGGTGGAGAACCTAACGAGATCTCGCAAAGAGGAGATGAGGGCTGGGCCCAGGAGGGGCAATCAGACTGGGGAGTCACTCAGCAGGCAAGATGGTTAGAGCCTGGGCACTCTGCGTAAGTGAGAAGCAGGGGGCAGGGGAGGAAGTGGCAGTAAACATGCCGCCCCGGCTTCTGCCCTGGCCCAGGGCAGACGACAGTACTCACGGGAGGTGAGCAGCTCTGCTTGACAGGAGGAGAGAGGAGGGCGGCTTCCCTGAGGCTGAGATGCCTGCAGAGCACCAGGTGGGTCTTCTCAGGAAACAATGAACTATCAGTTACTGAGGCTCAGGAAAGAGTTTGAGGAACTCATCCATGAAAAGCTGATAGCTGGGGCCACTGTGCAGAGAAAACCCTTCAAGCAGAGTGTACACACAGCGCGAGGAGGACCCAACCCCAGGGCATACCTTAGGTGCAGGCAACACTCCTGAGGAAGAGGCTGAGTCAGAATATCCAGGGAAACAAGAAGCCACAAACGTTCATGATGCCACTGCAACAGAGTATTCTATGCTCTGGATTCTTCACTCAGCCAAAGCCACAGCATTTTCTGAGAAATGGAGAAGACGCCCCCTCTTTGCCATCTGTTTGTGCTCCATGTCCCATGAGAGGCCTTCTGCAGCTGTGTCCCGGGGCCCTCTCTCCTAGGACTTCAGACACCAGCCCCTGGGGCCGAGCTGTCAGGCAGAGAGCAGAGCTTCCATCTCTGCTCCCGGTACCCAACCCCCACAGGGGACCCAATGCAAATCGATCCTTTGGGAGGTTCACTCCACCGATTTACCAAAAACTCCACCCCCACACTTCTGAGTGAGTCTCAGACAGGACACCTGGCTACGCTGTGAGATAGCAACAGGAAGGTCATGACGGATGTCCACCCAAGGAGTTTCAGCAGAACGGCTGATAAGGAGGTCAGGTTGCAGTGAGGTGAGGAGAGGGTGGGAGGAAGGTCAAGTATAGAAGGCGAACATACCAGCAAGTTCCATGAAATGTTGCTGTGACAAAAGGGCGGAGGCAGGAAAGCAGGGTCCAAGGAGATGGAAGGTGGTTGATGGTTGTTTGTAACAAGGGAGGGACTTGACCAGAGTCACAGGCTGAGGATAAAGCGCCAGCAGAGGGGGAGAGGCGAACCCTAGACACTGAGAAAAGACTGAGTCTGAGGGAATCGCCAGTGCAAGGCGTGCTGAGGAGCCTCAGGCCAGGTGAACACAAGGCTACCTTGAAGAGACCCTGGGCTTCCAGGGAGGTGCCTGGCCACAGGCTCAAGGAAGGAGATCAAGAGAGATGACAAGGACTCCACCACAAGCTTATCCAGCAGAGAACGAAGCTGTGATGGGGAGTCCCGTGCCCTGAAGAGGACGGATCACCTCAGGTCTCCCTGCCCTAGTCTTTGTGTTGACAGAGACCTCACTTCTTAGTCCCTCTCTGTGACTCAGAATCCGGGCTTCTCATTTTCCCACTTAATTTTAGTTATAACTAGAGCTTCTTCCAGGAGTCAGTTTTCTTCCCTTCCCTCCATCACACTGTGCTTGGGATTCTGACGTAAGGATCAGTGAAGCGTGTGGCTCTGGCCCGGGCCCCCCACTCTGGAGATACTCTAGTCTCAGAGTAAAACTTCTGGGTAAAAGGACAGTTCACCTTTAAAGGAGGTGGCTTTCCTGGTTTTGCTTGTTTAACTTACTGCACTCAGGGACGGTCAGAACTGGCCCTGGAACACAAGACTCTGCTTCCCCGCTTTAGGAAATGTGGTCACTACAGGAAAGAACATTGCGTCCTACAGTGTCTTTTATCACTCAAGGTGAATGGGGTGACTTATTACACCACTTAGACTCACAAACAGTCACACAGAGAAAAAGACCCTCATTAAATCTGCAGTCTGAAATTAGGATTTGTGTTGGAATTTGCTTCCGTGCTAAACTGCTGTTCAAGGATCCCAAACTCAAATGTTTGTGGATGAAAAGCAGGTGTCTGGAAGGTGTGAGCTGGCTCAGGGGTCTGTAGCAAACCCCGCCTCTGTCTGCCTTTTCCAAAGGACAACAGCCACTCAGCCCCAGCTGCTGCCACAAATGAAGGCGACCTGACTTCTCAGGGTGAGGTTGCCAGTCCAGGTTCTTTTGTGAAATCTCCAGATGTTCACATGTTGGTAACTAATCCCATTAAACAGTCACGACAACAAACAATGCCAGCCAAGCGAGACAGGACAGAGTCACAATTTCAATTTCGCTTCATCTAAAGAGATTTCAGTGCCTTCTGTTTCTTGAATGGTTTTTTGTTTTGTTTTATTTTGTTTTTAAAAAACAAAACCGTGTCTCTGAGACGGCAAAGATTTCGACAAAGATTTGACTCTTGAAGGTCACTGTCTGCTTGGCCCCCTCCCTGGGGGAGGCTTCCCCAGAAAGTGATGTGACTCTGCTTTCTTCCCAAGGACAGGTGCTCCTGCAAGCACTGAGCACAAGGATCCCCGGGGCATAGCTACTGATGATGACACACAAGTAGGCGTTCCTACAAAGCTCTAGCTGGTGAATCACTCCAGACTGGAATGACTTCAGGGCTGGCCCTTTAAAACTCATGCATGCTGCCGGGCAAACTCCTCCTCCAGGGAGGTTCCTTTAAATGAGAGCCAGCCGGCTGGGCCTCCGTTTTACACCCGATCAATACCTGCAATTGAGGTTTCCTCACCGGGAGGCAGCAGCCTGTCAGCATGGCTCAAGCGTTTGTGAACAGCAAGATCCAGCCTGGGAAGGTGGTCGTGTTCATCAAGCCCACCTGCCCCTACTGCAGAAGGACCCAGGAGCTCCTCAGCCAATTGCCCTTCAAACAAGGGCTTTTGGAATTTGTCGATATCACAGCCACCGGTGACACCAACGAGATTCAAGACTATTTGCAACAGCTTACAGGAGCCAGAACGGTGAGTGTGGGGTTTCGTTCTCAAAGGTTTCAGAAAAGGGTCCCAGATTCCTCTTCTCGGGGCTGTGAACTGGGTACGCCTGTGCCTTTCTCTAGGACGCCGCTAGGGCTCCGTCACTCAAGACGACGGGAGGGCTGCTCGGGGTGGGGGAGGGCGCCGGAGAGAAGACACTGCTTCCTTGAATGGGCGGCTGGACTGTGGCCAACGTGGCTCTCAGTTCAGAGCAGGGAGCACTGCTGATTGTGCTGGGCGTCAGGGTCAGTGGGCCCAGCAGCTATCCGGGAGTCACCGAGCAGCTATCTGGAGTCTTTGTTTTAAGCACTGCCGAGAAATGACAGTTTGAGTTTGCAGGGCTGGGGTGGAAGGAGGGGTGGAGGGGCCACGTGTGATCGGTACATTTCTGTTGTTGAACAAGAATCGCCTGCACTCTTTCCTCTGTGTTCACGTGGCCAAGCGGGATTTGCTATCCTTCAATCTCTTCTCTAGGCTCTTTAATCTTAACCTAATCAGCTCATTCTCCCATACCCTATCTAACTCCTCCCACTGGAAAATAATGGCTCATTATTGCTCCTTGTTCTAAATGAACAAGGTACTTCCAGGCCTGTCCTATAGGGAGTACAGTGGCCAGAGTTCCGGGTGGCTCTCACAATGGCTTGCTGGTGACTTCCTGGCAAGTCACCACCTCTGTGACTTTCAGGGACCTCCTGGCTGCAAGACCAGACTGCAATAGGCAACCTCTGTGTCCCTTTTGCTCTGAATAGACAGTGGGACCCTAAGAATGGCTCTCCTCTATCTGAAAATGCTTCCTCTTCCTCAGCACCTATGGCTCCTGGTGGGATGGCCAGCCAACCAGATCACCAGTATCAGTTCAGGTGCTGGGGATGGTGAGTGATGTCCCACCAGCTCACCCAAGCACCTTTCAGGATGCACATCCTAAGGACACATATTCTAGTTCAAGTTTAGTTTGACTTACAGGATTTTCTCTGGGTTCTAGGTGTCAAGCATAGGAGGTTGTCTGTCCCTAAATCTGGTCAGAAATCGGCATTCTGGTGCAGAGGGAGGAGAAACATGCTACCCTGTTGCTTCCAGGGCCCCAGCTGTGAGCTGAGGCCCCTCATCTCTGGAAAGTCTGGGAGTGGACGACAGTGGTGAGAGAGCCTCTTGCTGCTTGGCTGGACCACCAGCTGCACAGGTTGCTCGGGTCCTGACAGAAGGGCAGTGCCAGTACTTCCACAGCCCCCACAGTGATCGATCCCTCTCAGCCAGTGCTTCCCAAATGTTGCACATTAGTATCACCTGAGCAACTTTAAAAATTATCCCAATGCCCAAGTCACACCTCAAGCCAATTAAATCACAATATGGGAGGTGGCAGCCGGGCATCAGCAGTTCTAAAGATCCCTAGGTCATGGATACAACCATTGAGTCTTGAGTAAGTTCTGGAGATGTAGTGTCCAGCATGGTGACTACAGTCAGTAATACTGTACTGTAGGCTTGAAATTTGCTGCGAGATTAGATCTTAAGTGTTCTCATACACGCTGTGTGTTATTAACTTGAATGCAGTAATCATTTCATAATACATATATATATATCAAACTGTGATATTGTACACCTTACATATCCACAAATTTGTAAGTTATACCTCAATAAATCTGGAAGTGAAAATAGAGTTTATTCCCCATCAAAAAAAAAAAGATCCACAGGTAATTCCAATTTACAAGTTTTGGGAGCTACCTGTTTCAGCTTGGAAGCATCCATTCTCCAGCCAGAAAAGCAAACCTCTTCATGCATTCATTCAACTGTTTGCTTTTTGTTTTCATTTCTTTGTAAAGCAACACTTTTTCTTGTAGTGATCTTTTAAGTTTGGTTTTGAATTTTTAAAAATATTTTTAACAGGTTCTTGAGTCCTGAATGCACCCCTCCAAGAGGAGGAACAACTCCTTCAAAGCTGTATACTCCGTGATCCCTACCAGTGAAGGGTTTCTATTTGAAGAGACTGAAAGCTTGAGAGCTGTTGCTGTCTTGCTTATCCCGTGATGCCCTGTGGTGCTGTGCACGCAGCAGGAGCCCAGTGGGACTTGACCGAGTGCAGGAAGATAGGCCTTCATTCAGGCCATGTACTTGGAGAAACTTGCTTAGGTGTTGCTACAGCCACAGCTCCTAGATCAGTGCCTTCACTTATTCCTTCCCTAATGCTCTTTATGTAAATCCAAGTTCCTGACCTCTCTTATTTCCCTTCTCTCTGAAGAACATTTCTGAATACTCCTAACAAGGCAGATCTTTGGGCAACAAATTCCCTTAATTTTTGTTTGTGTAACAAAGTCTTCATTTCTCCTTCAATTTTGAAGGGTAATTTTGCTGGATACAACAAATATTTTTAAGCCCACTATACTAGGCACTTTTCTGGACACTGGAAATACTGCCATGAACAGGACAAACAGAAATTCCTGCCTTTGTGGAACTTACATTCTAGTAAATCTAATAAACAGTATGTTGGAAGGTAGTAAGTGATATGTGCTATGAAGAAAAACCAAGTGGGAAAGGGAAATAGGCTGTAGGCAGCAAGGTTCAGTGTTAACTAGAGCCATCAGGGCCTCACTGACTTAAGTAGATCTCTAAAGGAAGTGAGGGAGCAAGGCATGAAGAAATTTAGGGGTAGGGCATTCCAGGCATAGGAACAGCGAGTGCAAAGGTCCTGTGGCAGAAGCATGCCTGGCCAGGAGGCCTGTGTGGGTGGAGCATTATGAGTTAGTAGATGAGATCCGAGAGATCATGGGTTATAAGTTGGCAAGGTCTTCCAAAGTATCTTAAGGACTGTGCTTGTGCTGGGAGATAAGATGCCAAAAAAAGGGTTCTGAGCAGAGTAACTCTATCTGACTTAGTTTTGGTGACCGTGGGGAAAGGAGACTGTAGGAAGGCCAGGGTGAGGGTTGAAGACGCAATCAGGCAATCTCTAGGGCAGAGTTTTGTGCACAGTCTGGCACAGAAGCTGGGAGACATCTGGAGCCTAGAGCAGTAATTCTGATGAGAAATGATGGTGGCTTGCACCAGGGAGTATCCGAGGGAATGCTGAAGAGTGTTGGGCAGCAGCTAGTAGCAGCTGCCGAATAACCCTAGAGCACAGAAGATGCCCCCAGCTGGGGCTGGAGGAAACCCCCAGGGGAGTCAGGGCCCCAGTGTTCCCATGCTTGCTTTGCTGGTGGTGGTTCTCTGCTTCTGAACAGTAACGGACTCCAGTTCCTCCAAAGAGGGAGACGGCTGCCAGGAGGCGAGGGCACAGAGGACACGTCTCCTCTTCCTTCCTCAGCTATGTCAGCCGCTTCCTGTTTTGTCACCACAGCCCCCACGCTGTCCTGTTTAGCCTGCTGTTCAGTGCCGTCTGGGGTAGCCGGGAACCAGCGTGGTCTGAGGAGGTTTTGCTGTTGTCTAGCCTAGAGGGTGGGTGTAAGGGCAGCGGGGCCTTTCAGCTCTCAGGCAAGCCAGCTTCTGTGCCAGACGGTGTGCACAAAACTCTGCCCGGAGACTGCCTCATTGTGTTTCAGGGCCTGTCTCGTGCGGCTGGAGGCTGCTACGGAGCTGTGGGTTTCCAAAGCCTCGTTATCCTGGGAGGAATGAACTGCCATAGTGCCAATCAGCAGTTTGCAGAAGTGATCCCTGGAGCAACCGAGTCAGTGTCACCTGGGAACTTGTCAGAAATGCAAGATCATAGGCTGCAATCCAGGTCTCCTAAATCAGAAACTTGGGCGGGACAGGGAGCAGAAATCTATGCTTTAACAAGCCATCCATGGTTCTGATGCACATTCCAGTGTGAGAACTGCTGTCTAAGGAGGGGGCTCCTTATTCCTCAGGGCCTTCTCTCCACCTGACTTAACTCAAACCCCCTTGGCCAGCACCCCGTCAAAAGTGCAGATGTGGCAAGTGGTAGGAGGGGTGACAACTGCTCAGTTCTTTTTGAAAATATATAAGTGCAAGAATGAACATATCTCTTCCTTATTTCAAGCTCAGATGATTTTTATTCCTTTAGGAAATGCCTTCGACAGAAAGGGCCCTGCAATGTAATGACAGTTGAATTACAGGAGGATTCTGTTCTATTTACTGTTACTGCTGACAACAGCCAAGTGTTTCTGGGGAGACCAGAAGCCAGGAGGCCCCCAGCACTTTGGGGAAGTGCTTTATTGGCTCTACCAGGATCCAGGGGAAAGCTTAGGTTTCTGACCTCATCTTTCTGGGCTATTCTTTCAGCTGATTAAAGAGTGTTGCCTTTAGGGTGCTTCTATTTGCAAAGCCCCCACCCCGGCGTGCAGTGCGGTGGGGAGCGGGGGAGACAGGCAGCATCTTCGGAGACTGAGGAGGACACGACCAGGCTTTCTTGCTGGAACGCAGTCCTGTGTGTTCTGCCCTACTCTCAGGACACAGGAAACAGCCATAGAAACATGGTGCAGGATTCTTTTTATTTTTGGCCTTAATTGTGAAAACCTACTTCCACCCAGTCCCCCTTCTTAATAAAAATACAGTAAGGACTTATCTGAAATAATTCAGCCCTCTTCCTCAGCTCTCACTTTTTAAAAAATTCATCTGAACACGCACACCAGTGTTCATAGCAGCGTTATTTATAATTGTCAAGATACGGAAGCAATCTAAATGTCTAACAGATGAATGGCTAAAGATGTACATATAAACAATGGAACACTACTCAGCCATAAAAAAGAATGAAATGTTGCCATTTGCAACAATATGGATGGACTCAGGGTATTATGCTCAGTGAAATAAGTGAGACAGAGAAAGACAAATACTGCATATCACTTAGATGTGGAATCTAAAAAATAAAACTAGTGAATATAATACAAAAGAAACAGACTCACAGATACAGAGAACATGCTAGTGGTTACCACAGGGAGAAGGAAGTGGAGGGGGACAGGGGTCAGGGATTAAGAGATACAAACTACTACAAATAAAATAAGCTACAAAGGTATCTCGGACGACCCAGGGATATAGTCAGTAACTGTATAATAGCTATAAATGGAATATAACCTTTAAAAATTGTGAATCACTGTGTTAGCCACCTGAAACTTGTATATCAACTATACCACAATTAAAACAATTCATCTGAATTACTATGCATTCTGGGGAAAATCTAAAGCTCTAAAAATGACTCTTACTGCCATCTTTCACCTCTCCTGCCCCTTCTGGTACGTTCCTAGTGTTCCTGCTTGCTCCTGACCGCTCGGGGGACCTGTACTGTGCTTGTTTCTTCACTGCAGTCAGCCTTTCTGTAGCATCCTTGGCCTGGAATTTGTCTGAGCCACAGTAATAGGATTCTCCCCATCCAGGATGCCAAGGGCCCTCTGGAATCCTGGCATGTGCCCTACCTAGCAGCAGGGAGCGAGCCCCAGTGTGACTCGAGATAAACACACTCAGCAGGTAGAGTGACTGTGTCCGCCTGGGCGACCCACCCACTCCAGGTGTGAAAAAAGCAGACATGTGTCCTTGCTCCCAGAGCTGCAGCACTTGCATATCTTAGGATGGGCGAGATATTTAAGGAGGAGATTCAGATACCACCACCCCTTCCCCAGCTGAGGACAGAGCTCACAAAAGAGAGAGAGGACTCTAATAAACCGTGAGTCTAAAAATCAGGGACAGAGAACTGCTGCAGATAACTTCCCAGCTGCATTTAGAAACAAACTCCTTCCTGGTTACCATGGCTCAGTGTACAGGCTCAGGTGTGGTCCCAGCGGCAAAGAAACCAGAATTCAATCAGGGAGGTCCAGCTGCAGCCAACCAAAACTCTTTCCCTGAAATGAGCTTCTGGAGAGTAAACTTTCTAAATCTCTGACAAGTGAGACAATCTCATACACAGCACACTCAACTTGAAAAGCATCTTGGCTTAAAAACATTCTTGAATAATTTTATGCTGGTAATAAAGTTCTGACCTGAAAGAGTGTACATGAAGAGTTTGTAAAGTGATTTGAAAGGTTTTGGATCACGGGAAATATTTAGAGGAAGGATAAAGTATCATTCTTTCTCATCTAATAATGAAGTTCCTTAAATGTCTTGGCTTGTTTGCTTTTTTAGGTACCTCGGGTCTTTATCGGTAAAGAGTGTATAGGTGGATGCAATGATCTAATGAATATGCATGAGAGAGGGGAACTGCTGATGCGTCTAAAGCACATTGGAGCTCTACAATAATTGTGAGTGACTGGTGTCGCAACGCTGGGCCAGGAACACCAGGAGATGGTGGAATTCTACTGCTGTGTTTTATTGTAATTTACAGAGGCACTTTGGCTAGGGCAAAAATGATCTGGGATGATCTGAGAAACTGATGTCATGTCTGAGTTTCCCATTTTAAAAATATTGATTGTGTCAATGGGAGGAAACTGTTTCACCCAACCTTCATTTAACAAATATTTATTTAGCACTTACTATGTGCCAGACACTGTACTTGGCACTGGGAACACAGAAATGAACAGAAAGACAACATGGAATTTATATTCTAGAAAAGTAGACAGGTCAAAAACAAGAAAGTAAATAATTTCTGAAACAAATGAATGTGGTAGAACATGGCAGGGGGTGGGGAGCAAACTTGGCTAAGATGGTCAGGGAAGGCCTTTCTCGGGGCTGGCTAGTTGAACAGAAAGGGACAGCCATGTAAAGATGAGGCAAAAGAGTTTTTCAGGCAGAAGAAATAGCAAGTACAAAGGCCCTGAGGTGACAAGTGTGGAATATTCAAGGAACAGAAAGCAAGCAAGAGCAGACTGAGTGAAGGGCAGTAAGAAGGGAAAGTGGAAACAAGTGTTCCTGAGGCTGGAACACACAGGCCATGGTAAGCAACTTGGATTCTCCTAAGTGCAATGTGAAGTCAAGTTAATTTTTGCTTTACCTGGGTTCATGCTGCGAATCAGTTCAATCTAATTGGCTTCCAAAACAAGAGAGCAAAGTTTTCTAAAATTGTAAGCTGAAGGAGATCTTTGGATGAATGGCAAAACCACAGGGTGATGAACTCTTCAGAAAGGAACAAAGATATTTTGGGGGTCTGATGGGCTCCCCTCCCCTCAGCTCTTGTTAGCTCAGCTAGTTTTGAACCAGACCATGCCACTGACTCATTTGTGGAAAGACTCAGTGTTTCTTTAGCCAAAGGAGAAATTTATGGTGCTTAAATCAAAATGTTCTTTGAGCCGTATTTATTGCCCATTAATTAATAACTAACCCTTGAGCAATGAGTACATATAATTTGTGAAGGTTACTCAGAACAGCAACAGAAGTGAAAAACAAGATCTGAAAAATGCAGCTGAATCCCTCGAAATAAAAGTCAGTATTATCAAACTTTCATCACAATTCTGCATCATCATTACACCAAGTGAACACTATGTTTGGGTTAGATTTCTGGCCTCACCCCATGCACTAAAGCACTCAAAACCCAGTTAACTGTGGTACCAAATGTTTCCTACTCTGGAACACTTTTTAGCAATTTAGGCTTAGATTAGTGGAACAAAACTAATGACTTTCCTGGGAAGGTAGGAAATACCATTTCCCCAACTTCCTCTATGTTGGGATGGGCATGAGAGTCCCCCATATTCACTGGGTCTCTTTATTTGCATCGTCCTTCATAATTATATGCTCTCAGTATTTTACTGGCAACTGCATCTCCAGGCCATCTGTAACCGATTGTGTTTAAAAAGCAAGAGTAAGTGTTCAGGTGATGAAAGGGAAGTGACGAGTATTGATTTTTCCAAGGAAATTCAATTCTTTTTTTTTTTCTCCCCTAGCAGAGCAGACCCCAGGCTGATACGCCCTTGAAAGCTGGACAGCATTGCAGATAATGACAGCACTTGGCTGGTGTATGGATCCGGGGCTACTTTTACCCAGCTACAGCAGCTATTTACTTAAAATTCTGAAACATGTTAACCAAAAAAAGGGAGTGGGTTTTGGTGGGGCAAAAACAGCCTATTCTTCTTTTGACTCAGTATTTAAAGCGGACCAGCTTGCCCCAAACCACAGGTCTGAGAAGTTTGATGGATGTCTTGGGATTCTTGTGCACTGGCCCTTTGGGTTCCAAAAGACTGTAAGCTTTGGTTTAGGATTTACTGGCTGACCCAAAAGATGCTCTTTCTCTTTGGTGCATGTTTCTTTCTAACTATTCTCCATGTGCTGGGACTCTACCTCTTCACCAGTGTTTCTCAACCAAGTTTATCCCAGACTCCGTACCTAGGATGAATCTATAGTTGGTTTTCTGTCCCTGCCCGAAAATGACTTTGTTGAGTTTGACTTTATGGAGTTTGTATTATGAAATCAATAGGTATTGTGAATGTGCTCTCTCGAACTTCGTGTGTCTCCCCAGTCACCATCTCCACCCACCCCATCCTACCCTGAGAGTCACTGCTGTGAACTAGTGTTTTTAACCTTGACCACTCAACAGATGTCATAGGAAATATTCAACACTTCATGAAGGGTCTGAGCACCCAATTTGAGAGACATCACATGAAAGGTGAAGCATGTTGGTCCTCACTTGGTGCTACAAGGATCAGAGGTACAAGTGGAGATGCTGTGATCAAGTGGCTCTGTTATGTAAGACGGTTGTCCAGGGCATCCCGAACAAGTGCGTATTAATTTGCTTACATTATGAATAAAAGTAAAACAAAATTTTAAACATTATCATGGAAAACTTACAGCCCCCATCCCAAAGACTGTGTATGTGAAAGTAGCTAAATTTGGGAAACACTGTTCTAAATGATTTTCTTTCTCTCCTTTCCCACCCTCACCCCATTCTACTAAAATTTAAGAATCTCTTATTATGAAGTCTGTCCTAGAATTGCAAGATTAATTTCCTTCTGTAGTCTCTACTGTGAATGGTTAATTTCTTTTCTAATAGAGGTACCCATGGATCACACAGTCATTTTTGTCTAATTCTTTTCTATGTTCTCCAGACCTTAAGGGATGGTATTAATGCAAAATATACCAATTTAAAGCTTTTTTTCATGTCTGTCCCCTACGATTATAAATAAAGGCACATGCTATTGTCTTTCATTGAGTACAAATGGTTGGTGTAATTTTTTTAATTTCATATTGAAATAACAAATAATTTGAGTATTTCAACACTAGCCCATCAAATAACCTTTAGGATTCAGTAACAGTCTTTCATTTCACATTCCATTTTTCCATTTTACCTAATACTCTTGTACTTTAGGCTTCCTTTCCCTTCCTTTATGGACCCTAATTTCTCCCTTCAACTGTGGGTGATCAAGCAGGTTACACACTGCACAACACTGAATGCCACCCCTGAGCCTGTGCAATGTGCAACCTGCATGGCCCCTGATCCCCTCCAGACCATTTGCCTGCTCTTTTTCTCACATTTCTGTGTCCTTGCTTGTTGTATTTCTTGCTCCTGAGATCCCATTTCTTTGTTCCTCTTCCAAACTCCGCTTTCAACACCTGATTTACAGATGGTCTCCCCCGTGCCTACCCTCTCCTCTCACTGCCTTTTGACTAAAAAAAAGCCATTTTTCCCTCTTCTGTAATCCTAATGTACGCTGCATATAGCTACACCACAACTCTCACCAGGTTGTGTTGTAGTTAATCATCTGTATTGGTCTCTTGCCAGATTCAGAAATACTGAAAGGCAAGAGCCTCGATTTAAAAATCTTTGTATGCCCAGTTTCTAGCACAGAGGATCTATTTTATCAAAGCAATACATGTGGTTTAAAATGTCAAACAACGCTAAAATTCTTTCCCACCTCACTCCTACCAAACCCCAGTCCTGGTCACACATGTATCAATTTCACAGGTGTTTAAACTTATTTAGAAATATTGTAAAATGTGTTAAGATATGTATGAGAGTGTGTAGAATGCATATTTCTATTTAACACCCAAGTATCTGCCTCCTAGGTAAAGAAATAAAGCATTTATATAACATCTTGCTTCTAAGAGACCTTGGAGGTTCATGTGCCCCTTCCAAACATATCCCCTTCCTCCCTGTACAGAGGTAATCACCTGTTTGTTTTTGTTGCAATGATTTTGATGCTTTATAGTTTTACTCCGTACAATATCTCCAAGCAAGACATTTTAGTTTTGAAAAGCAATGGCAAACAACAATCTAGTTGTGTAACGAAAGGGCAAACATTATCAGATGGGCAATCTAGTTGTGTAACGAAAGGGCAAACATTATCACAATCAGATGAATGGCTCCGGGAGGCCAGCTGAGCAGAGGCTCTGAGTCACAGACTGGCTCCTGTTTCCTTGGTAGTTTACCAGAGAGGTGGTCCTGAGTGAGTCCTTGGAAACACTGGGAACCCCAGGATTGGGGAGGCTGTTGAATGAACAGGTACAGGGCATCCCCCCTAGAAACAGTGGTGGAAGTCGGCCACTCCGCAGCTGCTGCTTCCATGGCCCACCTGCAGCTTTCAGGAGCAGGTGAAAGCACATCTCATCTGCAGGAGTGTGGCACCCCCTCAACTGGCCAAGGGTGCGGCATGGAGAACAGAAGTGCCGTCAATACAAGGCAGGGTAAGTACAGAAAAGGGCCTGCTTCAGGCTCATTTAAGCATTCTGTCCTCAAGTTAAAAAAAAAAAAAGGCACAAGATTGCTCTCAACATGTGGAATTTCACAGCTCCATTCTGGACTCGGCCATCTGAGCCCAAGCCCAGCTCTCTTCCTGGGATCTCCCGTTACTATCACCCTAGGGATTTCGCTTCCCTCCATCCTGGGTTGGATCTCCTGTTTCCCATACCCCATATATATTTTTGTTACAGCTAAACTGCTGTCACAGAGACGTAATGCTATGACAGAAGCTTTTTTCTAACAGTTCTGGGGCAGGCAGGTGGCTCTGCTCTGTGACATCACCATCAATCCAGAGGTTGTATGCAGCACTAACGTTCACACCCCATGGGCCAAAACTTAATCTTTGGCCCCACTGAGCTGCAGGTAAGGCTAGGCAATGGTGTCCCTGCTGGGAACCCCCTGCCCAGCTAAAACTCAGGGAGGTCTACACCAGAAGAAAGAAGGAGAGGAAACACCTTCTCAGGAAGTCTTCCCACATCATACTATTTAACATTTCACTTGGCAATCTCTATCCTTAGTCCTTCTTTATTTTTCTCTATAGCATTTATCACCTAACATGTTGTATAATTTGTTTATTTATTTTATTTACTGTCTGTCTTCACCACTAAAATGTAAGTCCCCTGAGACCAGGATTTGTGTCTATTTATTTACTGCTATATCTGCAGCATCAAGAAGATTGTTTAAAAAAAAAAAAGAGATTGCACATAGTAGGCACTTGATAAATGTTAGGTGTTTGAATGAATGAGTGAGTGAATGAGTGAATGAATGATTAGATGCAGATTACCCAACTATTAGCTCCTGGATGTTTTTCTTTGGAGCTGTTTGGTTTCTCCAGTTTTACAGCTGGGAGTCAGGCCTTGCCACCAGGTTCTGGCTGCCGAATAGGGTAAAGGGATCTGGCAGCCCCCTGGTCAGTGTGCAGGCTCTCATGTCCTCTATCTTCTAGTGGCTTCTTGCTGAGTAATTCTGTGTGGTATGCATGGATAGAAAGCACTATCGTCCAAAGAACACCAAGAAGTTGGCACAGGGGGTTGGCAGAGGGAAGCAACAGAAATAACTAGGCAAATAAATTCACAGCCAGAGCTCTATTTTTTCTGTTTACTCTAAGAAGTAAGTGATTCAATCTCCACGTGTCTCATTTCAGTAACTGTCTTCAGTCTGCCCCTTCCAGCCTGGCCCCTGGAGTGGGACGCCTGACAGCCATTCTTCCCAATTCAAGGTTGTCAAAGATGCGTAAATGTGTCTGTGTGGTCTAGACCACACTGTTGATACACCCAGTATTATTAGGCCATTATCTTGACATGTGGTTATAAGAGGAAGCCATGCTAATTCACTGTGTCATACAATTTTTAGTGGGTCCTGGGAAGTATTTCAAAGTGTTGGGCTCCTGAGGTATTTTAATTAAAATTGCTTTGTTATATTGATAGTGATCTTGTCTTATTAAACACATTGGACATTTGAAGGGGCAGAATTTAATCTTACTAATTAGTAGAAGAGAATTCTGGCCTGGTCTCTTTAAGCGTAAGTGATATTTAAACACCGGTCTATATTTACACACAGATTTCTATTTCCTGTCCCAGGTGACTTTTCTGGCAAGCTGTGCAGAGCTAAACGGGGAAGGAGAGATGAAGAGGTATAGGAGAGCCAATGACAGCGCCAAACTTTGCGTAACCTCTCTGGGATTGCACCTAGTGCTCCTGGGGTTTTATTCCTAGTGGCTCTTCCTGGTCGTTGGGGTCCTCCCACCTAGCAGAGCTGGAGCCTCTCTGGATGCTTGTAGGAGAGGGCAGAGCAGCTGCCCCTCACTCTTCTCTTGTGTGCCTTGTGAAACTTGGAATAGTTCATACATAAAATTGCAGGTGGTTTTTAAGGTGGGGAGGTGGGGGTTTGGCACTGCCTTTCCTTATTATTCTGCCAAGTCATCCTGAGGACTGAGGACGGATGCTCTTTAATATGATTTGCCCTGGCTCTAACTCTGGTGAGATTACAGGGACCAGAGGGCCCACTCTAGGAGTGGAGGACAGACAACTCCTGGGAAAGCCAAATCAGAGAACTCAGCTAGAACCTGTCCCCCAACACCGAGCTGTTTCCCAATATCTAGAACACACTCCCGCATGTGTGGCAAGAGTGGGTGTGTAAGGCTGCCTCTGAGTGCCCTTAGTCAGCCCACTGATCAGAAGCCTGGAGACTGGAGAGGGCCAGAGAGGGCAGGGGAAGACAGGACAAGTCTCGGGCTGACTTCATAAAGGGAAGAGTGTGGGTGGCCCTAGAAACACCACAGGCTGACCAGACGGGAGCCCTGGTTCTCCCCACCCAGGAAGCCTGAGGCAGGCTGTACCAGTGAGGGTACAATGTGGCCTTAGAGCACTTCTGAAGCCAAGTTACCCCACCCCCTTGCATTCAGGTGCAGCCCAAGGGTTGATGAACTGTCCTTAACCCGACTGAAGAGATTCCCCTTGCCCAAAGGGATGGATCAATAGATGCAAAGTGCTCCCTTAAATGCCCCCGAGCTGGCAGGAGAAGGAAATCCCCCCTGTGTCAGCATCTGAGGAGTGAGGGAGACATGTTTCCACTAACAGGATGGTCTTCAGTATGAGGACCCTTTCTCCACTGATTATCCTTTGACTACAGGAGAGTGGGTCCTGTGACCTGCAGAATGCTGGGGTGCCTGAGGGTTAGTGAGAGGGTCAGAGAATGTACATGGACATTCTGATTTTCCACAGGTGTATATAACGAGGTGCCACTCCATGTACCTTTCACTGCATCCATGTTTTCTAATATTTTCATATAGGTGAACAACAGGTTTTCCCAGTTAAAAGTTTTCTTGGTTTGTTTTCTTACATGGCAGTAGCAGCAGGGAATAAAACATTAATTCATTTAAAGGATCACTGCATGTACATATAATTATGCAGTCAAAACATTTGCTTTTTAAAAAAAATCCCAACATTCATAATAACTTTTGATTATTATTGCTGTGTGAGTCAATGGCTAAAGCACAGTGACTACACGTGGAGAGGCTGTGCTCTGCCCCATCTTCTGGTATGGAAAATAGAAATAGAAAGGGAGTCCGCGAATTTGGAAATACGGGAGACACTGCCCTGTACCAAAGAGAGGGCTAACACTGGTGGCTCTCAGTCTTCCTACCTATACAGATCAGAATCTAAAAAACAGCTGTAGTGTAAAGGCAGTATCAAAGAATGGTTAACTCATACCAAAGTCAAGGTCTGAGGTATGCCCCGTGTTTCCTAGGCATTTTAAAGAGGCTATGTAACACCTGCACGGGCTGAAACAGGTGAATGTGAGAGTCTGCAAGGTACGGTGATGGAAGCTGAGAGAGACCCAGCTGCACTCACTGGGTGCCAAGCACTAAGTTTGGAACATGTTCTCACTCACGTGATCCTCACAGCAGCCCTACAAGCCAACTACTGTCATCATCATTTCCATTCTAAGAAGGGAAAACTAAGGCACAGAGAGGT